CGCCCGGCTAATTTTTTTATTTATTGTAGAGATGAGGTCTCGCCTGCCCAGGCGGGTCACGAACTCACGGGCTCAGGCCATCCACTCACCTCAGCCTCCCAAGGGCGCGGGATTACAGGTTGAGCCACCGAGCCGGGCTTCCATTTATTTTAAGAACATTTTTTTCCTACTTATTTTCTTCCCAGTCGTCATTCAGGAGCATGTTGTTTCATTTCTGTGTATTTGTACAGTTTCCAAAGTTTCGTGTGTTATATTCTTTTGTAGTCTGAGAAGGTAGTTGATACAATTTCAGTGTTTTAAAATGTGTTGATGCTCGTTTTTTATCCTAGCACATGTTCTTTTCTGGACAGTGTTTTGTGTGCTGATAAGAGTGTGTATTCTGTAGCTGTTGTATAAAATGTTCTATAACTGTCCGTTAGTTCCATTTGGTCTAATGTACAGTTTAAATCCAATGTTTCTTGGTTATTTTTCTGTCTAGACAATCTGTCTAATGCTGAGAGTGGGGTATTGAAGTCCTCAACTGTAATTGTAGTGGAATCTGTCTCTTACTTTAGACTTAATAATATTTGCTTTATATATCTGGGTGCTCTGGGGTTGGGCCCTTATATGTTTAGAATTGTTATATCCTATTGCTGAATTGATCCCTTTATCAATATATAATGACATTTTTGTCTCTGATGACTGTTTTTGATCTGAAGTTTGTATAATGTTTTAGAAGCAGAGCTGTTCCTGTGAGCTTTTGGATTGCACAGAACACCTTTTGTCATCCCTCTTCTCTCAGTCTAGATATGTCTTTATAGGTGGGATGAATTTCTCACAGGCCTCATCTAGTTCAGTTATGTTTGAAATCGTTTCAGCTGGTCTACATCTCGTAAGTGGAAAATTTAAGCTATTTGTATTCAAGAGTGTATTGATATGTGAGTGCTTATTCCCATCATTTTACTATTTTTTTCCTGGTTGCTCTGTATTACCTTTGTCCCTTTCTGTCTTTCATATGGTTAGTTTATCCTAGTGGTGTGGTCATTTCTGCATTGAGTTCTTTCTCTTCCTTGTCAGTGTGTTTGCTGTGCCAGTGGGTTGTATACTTGTGTGTTTTCATGATGGTAGATTTTGTCCATTTACTTCCAGGTATAGGACTCTCTTGAGCATTTCTTGCAGGAGTGATGTAGAGTGATGAATTCCCTCAGCTTTTGCTTGTCTGGGAAAGACTTTATTTCCCTTTCATTTATGAGTGATAACTGCTAGGTATAGTATTCTTGGCTGACAGTTTTTTCTTTCACCACCTTGACTATGTCACCCCCTCTCTCCTGTTGAAAAATCCACTGTTAGTCTGATGGGGATTCCCTTATAAGTGACTTGATGCTTTTTTCTTGCTGTTTTTAGACTTCTCTCCTTGTCTTTTTTTTTTTTTTTTTTGGGT